ACCAATCTCCTTAATGAATATAGATGCAAAAATCCTTAATAAGATAGTAGCAAACAGAATACAGAGGATTATGAAGAAGATCATCCATCCTGACCAAGTCGGATTTATTCCAGAGATGCAAGGGTGGTTCAACATACGAAAGTCAATAAATGTAATACATTATATTAACAAAGTCAAGGACAAAAATCATATGATCCTCTCAATAGATGCAGAAAAAGCATTTGATAAAATTCAACACCCATTCATGATAAAAACCCAGCAAAAAATTGGAATAGATGGTCTACATCTCAACTTAGAAAAGGCTATCTATGAAAAGGCAAAAGCCAACATCATATTAAATGATCAAAAATTGGAAACCTTCATGTTAAAATCAGGAACAAGACAAGAATGCCCACTATCACCACTCCTCTTTGATAAAGTTCTGGAAACATTAGCCATAGCAATTAGACAAGAGAAAGAAATCAAAGCAATAAAGATAGGAAAGGAAGAATTTAAACTGTCATTATTTGCTGATATGATACTCTACATAGAAGACCCAAAAAACTCCACCAAAAGACTTCTAGACTTAATTGACAGTTTCAGTAGAGTATGTGGATAAAAGGTGAACACCCAAAATTCAATAGCCTTCTTATACACAAATAACAGACTCACTGAGAGAGAAATAAGGGAAAAAAATCCTTTTACAATAGCACCAAAAACATGAAGTATCCAGGAATCAATCTAACAAAAGAAACAACAGATCTCTACACTGAAAACTACAGCACTCTGAAAAACGAAATAGAAGAGGATATAAAAAAATGGAAAGATATCCCCTGGTCCTGGGTAGGCAGAATCAACCTAATGAAAATGGCCATACTACAAAAACTGCTATATATATTCAATGCAATGCCAATTGAAATTCCAATACTATATTTCACAGAAGTAGAAAAAAAAAATCCAAAAATTCATTTGGAACCATAAGAGACCTAGAATAGCAAAAGCCATTTTAGGCAACAGACACATGGCACCAGGTGTAACAATTCCCAATTTGAAACTATACTACAAAGCCACTGTGATAATAACAGCATCGCACTGGCAAAGAAACAGACCTGAGGATCAGTGGAACAGACTGGAAGACACAAAAACAAACCAAGATGTACTCAGCTACCTCATCTTTGACAAAGGAGCTGACCATCCTCAGTGGAGGAAAGATAGCCTCTTTAATAAATGGTGTTGGAAAAATTGGATGTCAACCTGCCACAGATTAAAATTAGATCCTTATCTTTTGCCATGCACTAAATTAAAATCCAAATGGATTAAAGATCTAAATATTAAAACAGAAACATTAAACTTGCTGGAAGGTAAGTTAGGCAGAACTCTGGAAGACATTGGTATAGGAAAAGACTTTATGAACAAATCCTCAGTAGCATGGGAACTAGCAGAAAGAATCAACAACTGGGATCTCATCTTACTAAAAAGCTTCTGTACTTCAAAAGAAACCATTAGCAGAACTAAGAGACAATCTACAATGTGGGAAAAAATTTTTACCAGCTGTACCTCAGACAAAGGACTATTATCAAGGATATATAAAGAACTCAAAACAATCAGTCCCCCCAAATATAAAGACCCGATTCAAAAATGGGCATCCGAAATGAACAGACATTTCTCAGACAAAGAAGTAAAAGCAGCAAGTAAATATTTGAAAAAATGTTCCACATCACTGGTCATTCGAGAGATGCAGATGAAAACAACAGCGAGATTCCACCTCACCCAACAAAGAATGGCTGCTATCAAGAAATCACACAATAACAAATGTTGGTGGGGTTGTGGGGAGAAAGGAACCCTTCCCATTGTTGGTGGGAGTGCACACTGGTGCAACCACTATGGAAATCAATATCGAGATACCTCAAAGGGCTTGGACTGGAGGTTCCATTTGACCCAGCCATCCTTCTGCTGGGTATCTTTCCAAGAGAACTAAAAGCATCATATCACAGAGAAGTATGTGCACCCATGTTTATAGCGGCACAGTTTGTAATAGCTAAATCTTGGAAACAGCCTATTTGCCCATCCATTGGAAACTGGATAAAGAAGTTGTGGTTTTTCTATAAAATGGAATATTACTCAGCCATAAAGAACAAGAAAATATATTCATTCATAGGAAAATGGATACATATTGAAGATATACTCTAAGTGAAATAAATAAGTCACACATGTGTAAATACCAAACAGTTTCCTTGGTGTGAATAATCTGCAATAAAGCATAAGATCCTAATAAGAGTACTGACATTTCGAAATGGGAAGAAAGGAGCTAAAGGTGTAGGGAAGGTAGGATGGTAGGGGAAGAGTAAAAAGGGAAAAGAAAAAAATGTGAGAGAATGAAAAGATTAAAATAAAGTGTTTGTAGATGGGGAGAGGAGGAAGGGGTGAAGGGAGGGCAGAGGTAAGGGAAAAAAATGAGAATCAAGACCTGCCATTTTGAGGTACAGGAGCCCAACAATGAATGTAACTGTACTGTATCCCTAAAATGTACCAATAAACTCAATTAAAGCTGAAAAAAATATATAATAAAAAAAGAATTTTGTATTTTTTCAAGGAGCAATTTTTAATTCTTCTGTTTTGATAGTAAGATTTTTGATCATTTTGATTTGATTTTAGTACAGGATGAGAGATATGGCTCTAATTCCATTCTTCTACATGTGAACAACCACTTTTCTCAGCAGTATTTGTTAAGGAGGCTGTCTTTGGCCCAGCATATATTGTTAGCCTCGTTGGAAGTAATCATATGAGTAAGGTGCATTGGGCTATTTCCCTGTCTTCTGTGTTATCTTTATGCACCTCTATTTCTTGTGACAGTACCATGTTGCTCTTATTAGTGTAGCTTTGAAATATAGGGTCATATCCCCTCCTGCTTTGATCTTTTTGCTCAGGATAGTTTTAGATAGTCTGGATTTCTTCTGTGCCCTAAAATTTTTGGAATTTTTTTGTATTTTTGCAGAGAAAGTTGTTTGTTTTGATTTAAATCTACTTGGCCATATTTTGGTAATATGGCCATTTGACAGGATTGTTTCTTCTCATCAGGTCGAGGTAATATCCGCCAATTTTCTGATGTCCTCTTCAGTTTCTTTCAGAGTATTATAATTTTCATTGTAGAGGACTTTTATTTCCTTTTTAGGTTAATTGCTAAGTTTGAATATTTTTTCGAAGGCATTATATTGGAATTGTTTTCTGATTTGTTTCTTGGCGGGTTCATTATAGGTGTACAGGAGCACTATTGCATTTTATGTGTTAATTTTCTATTCTACACTGAAAATTTTGTTTGTTCTGGTGAAATTTGTTGGTCTTCTATGTACACAGTGTGTCATCCACAAGTAAGTGGAGTTTGACTTTTTACTTTCTTCTTCCTATTTCATATCTTCCTTTTTTTTTGCAAATTGTCAACTTCATTTTTTTCTTTTATTGAGTTTATTGATACATTTTAGGCATACAGCACAACTACATTCATTATTGGGATCGTGTACCTTTACATGACAGGTCTTGGTTCTCATTTTTTCCCCTAGTCCATGCCCTCCCTTCACCCCCTCCTACTCTCCCCATTTAGAAACACTTTATTTCTATTTTTTCATATTTTTTTTCTTTTCCCTTATTATCTTTCCTCTACCTTTCCCATTTTCCCTACACCTTTAGCCCTTTTCTTCCTATTTCACATTGTCAATTATACCATTGAGATCTTGTGTACTATTATAGCTTTTCACACCAGAGAAACTATTCAGTATTTGCACATGTGTGACCTGTTTATTTCACTTAGGATTATATCGTCAATATGTATCCATTTTCCAATGAATGACTCTGACTTCTCATTCTTTGTGGCTGAGTAGTATTCCATTTTACGGTAAAACCACATCTTCTTTATCCAGTTTCCAACTGATGGGCAAATGGGCTGCTTCCAAGATTTAGCTATTACAAACTGTGCCACTATAAACATAGGTGCAGACTGGTGCAACCACTGTGGAAATCAATATGAATATACCTCAAAGAGCTGGGACTAGAGGTTCCATTTGACCCAGCCATCCCTCTGCTAGGTATCTTTCCAAAAGAATTAAAGGAATCGTATCTTCCTTTTAACTGATTGCTCAGCTCAACATGTCATGTGAACTGAGTTTTTTATGATTTTTTTATTTATTAGTACATTTTCAGTATATAATATTTACATTCCTTGTGGGGCTTTGGCACACCTAAATTAAATATATTATTTCCTTTTTTCATTCACTATTTCTTCACTCAATTCCCCTCTATTCGTATCCCTTGACCTCTTCTTGTTTGTGTTTTTTTTCTTTGTCATGTGCTTGAGGTACAAAATGTTCATTTTAATTGCTGGAGAATGTACATGTACATAACATGTCTTAAGTCTTTTTTATTCCCTTTCTCTTCTCTCTCTCCCCTTCTTCCATTCCTTGATTTTCTTTTCCTGTGAGAAATATCTATCTTCCTACTTCCTGTTATCTCTTAATTTGTTTGTTTATAATTTGGGTTTCTTATGTAAAAGAAGTCATGTAGTATTTGTTTGTCTGTCTGATTTTCTTTTAACCATTACTCTCTAATAGCTGGTTCAATTGAAAATTCTAGTTTAATTTTTTCCATTAAGTTCATTGGTACAATTTAAGTATAAAATATAGTTATAGTAATCATTGGGATATTGTAACTTTACATAACATATCTTAATTCTTGCTTGTTCCACATTCCCTGGTATTCTCTTCACCCCCTCCATCCTACCTCATTTTTTCAGAACTTTCTACACTGATTTCCAATATAGTTGTACTAATTTGCATTCCAAACCAACATCAAGGAATCTAGTTATTGATCAAAATGGTGAGAGTAGACATTTAGTATGATGTTGGCAGTGGGTTGTTATAAATGGCTAGAACATCTGCATATTAATTTTGCTATAACATCTAACCCGAATCCTGCTAGTCTGCTCCCTGAGTCAGATGACCAACTGCCCGTCCATGACTGCCTTGAGACTCTTGAAAATCTGCAGGGAGGTTGTCTAGATCTGAAGGGAGGGTGCCCTTCCCCAGCCTGAGGCAATATACTACACCAATGGGTGCATTTTTATATATGAAGGTGTACAATTTGTGGGAGCAGCAATAGTCAATCAAGATCAACAGATAGTATGGGAACAGGGGATAGCCCAAGGGATGTCAGCACCAAAGGCTGAACTGATTGCTCTAACTAAAGCTCTGCAATTAGAAAAAGGAAAAAAAAATAAATATTTTCACTGACAGCCATTATGCTTTACTTACTGCTCATGTACATGGAAAAATTTAGCAGAATAGAGGACTTTTAGCATCAGATGGGAAAGAAATTAAAAACAAAGTTGAGATATTGGCTCTGCTAAAAACCATCTGGCTTCCAAGGGAGGTTGCCATCATTCACTGCCATGGACATCAAAGGAATTGCAGCCCTGAGGTGATTGGAAACAACATAGCTGACCAGGCAACAAAGCAAGCTGCCCAAAAATCAGTGGGGAAACAAATGGTGCTGCTATCTATACCCACGCTCCCAGAGAGGCCTGAATACACAGAGGAAGAAATAACAGAGATGAGCAAAAAGCACTGGACCAAAGGAAAGCATGGATGGGGGATAACTGATAAAGGAAAAGTCATTTTGCCAGCTGTGGTGTCCAATATCTTGCTAAATGAGCTCCATGAATCCACCCACCTGGGAGAAAAGAGGATGATGGCCATTATACAGCCCCATTTTGTCAGCAGAGAATTAGCCAGGAAGGCCCGGGACAGGATGAGATGATGCCCCACCTCCCTCAAGGTAAACATGAATCCTGTGACTGGGCCCCCAGGGGTCCAATATAGGGGACCGATTCCTGGAGAACATTGGGAACTGGACTTCACTGAAATGAAATTAGGCATGTATGATTACAAATATCTGTTAGTTTTCATAGAAACATTCTCAGGGTGGATAGAGACATATCCCACTAAAAAGGAAACAGCTCAGATAACAGTAAAAAAATGCTTCTGACTGAAATAGTTTATTGATTTGGCTGGCCCCTAGCCCTGGGATCTGACAATGGTCCAGCCTTCATGGCTAAAGTGTCTAAACTAATTAGCCTTAGTATCAGAATTAGATGGAAGCTGCATTGTGCCTTCAGGCCTCAAAGTTCAGGACAGGTAGAGAGGGCTAACCAAACATTAAAGGAGATTTTAACTAAATTGAGCCTAGAGACTGAATTAAGTTGGGTAGAGCTTCTCCCTTTTGCTCTGTTGCATATTTGATGTACTCCCAAGCCTCCACTGAACCTGTCACCCTTCCAAATCATCTGTGGGCATACTCCCTCCTTGGTTCCCCATATAGATATAGAATTAAAAGAAAAATTTTCTCACCTGAGGCTGCTTAAGTCTCTCAGCACTTTACATGAAATACAGTCTCAATTACAAGATTGGGTCAGAGGATCTCTGACCCTTCCACATGAAAAACCTCTGAAGCCACTGCCCCATAAGCCAGAATAACTGTTTTATATTTGTAGGTTTGACTTCAAGACCTTTTAACCAGGATGAAAGGGACCTTTTCTGGTTGTCCTGTATACTCCTTTGGCCATGAAGGTTGCGGGACAACCGACATGGATCCACTGCAACCACCTCAAGCCCGGACCAGACAACAGCCCAGAGATGCACGGAAAATGGAGTATTGTCAGCTAACCTGGAGAACTGAAAGTAAAACGTCACTCAACTGGACCTGCATTATAATCTGGGTGATTTTCCCTGGGGCAGTAATAGCGTCGCCGCAAGAAAGCTTAGGTCATACTAAAAATGTCTGTGTACAACTAGCTGAAACTGTAAATTTGATCGAAATCTGTTTAAATGCTGATGTAAATTTTCATTATGTGCTTGGAAATTGCTTGGTTCTGGTATGTACCTCACTTGAAGATATTAGACCATATACTATATTTTAAAAGTTCCCACAGGTAAATCTTAGTTATTTTGATAGTTACAATTGGGGACAGGTGACATATTACAAACCAAAGAATGCTATTAAGCTATATACCCCTCAGGCAGCTATGTCTAACAAGACCCAGTGTGCCAAATATAAAGGTGTACTTCTCAATGTTTAAATCTTAAATGGACAAATAAAATGAAGTGCCCCAGAGAACAAAAGATTCCTTATAGAAATTATCACATTACTTTTCTACTGGGATAGTTTTATACTTGTGAGGGAATAACTCATAACTACATCCCAGGAAACTTGACTGAGGCCCGATGTTGTCTCATTAAATTAGCAGTTGTCTTACCTGACAAAAGAGATCTTTTAACCACCTAACAGAAAAAATGGTGGTTTCCCTATACTTCACCAGGTTTTGATGATGATGTGGGACTTTTAACAGATGCTGAAGTTATTCCTATAATTATTTCTGTGATAGTCATACCCTCAATTGGAGTTCATGCTGAAAAGGCAGTTAGAAAATTAGCTTGCAAGGTAATTAAGGGATTAAACACCACTGCTGCGACACTGGCACTAATTAATCATGAGCTCCAAGAACAAAGATGAGCAATCTTAGAAAATAGAGCCGCAATTGATTATTTGCTGTTATTTCATCACCACAGTTGTGAAAAGATTAAAAATATGTGCTGCTTCAATTTAACAAATAATGGGCCAGCTATAGAACAAGACATAGAAAAGCTTAAAGACTTAGCTACAAAAATTCATAATTAACGATTGGGATGTGACTTATTTAAATGGTTAACAAGTTGGTTACCTGACATTACCTGGTTAAAGCAACTGATACTTTGCATAATGGCATTGAGATTTTGTATTGTAAAAACTTATTGTCTTTTTACAGTGTATTCCTCTGTTAAGGCTTAAAACTAGATATAAGTAAATCAAAGATTTGATTTAGGCCTGAAAATCAGTAGGGAATGTAACAGCCTTACTGAACTAGAGTGACTCCATGTTTACTAGCAAATGACCCAGAGACAGTTGCCCCCCCTTATAGGATAAGTAATGATTAATTGTGAATTACTAGGTACCTGCTCAGGAGTAGCTGGGAAACTAGAGAAAAATTGTAACAAACATAGAGACCCAAAGTAAATCACTCCCTCCTTGTTTGCCAGTAACTGAATGTTCTGAACACCACAATCTATAAAACAATGGGTAATCGATCTGCTGACCATTAGTACATAACAGTCAAGTACATGCTTGATGACCACCAGCTCGGATCAACTGACCACTTGCCTTTGTCCCCTTCCTGTAAGTTTTGAATATTAACTCCCCATAGCCCTTTATAAAATAGCCTCTGACTCTGAGCTAGTTGCCTCTCTGAGCTACTTGGCTCCAGGAGTGTCATCTGACCAGACTAATAAAGGTCTATTTGCCATCTAGCCTGGTGTGTTCCTTCCTGGGTAACTCTCGCTGTCCAACAAGTTCCTGGAGCCTCACCAAGTTTTAGGGGTCAGTATCGTGGAGGCCTTTTGGCTGTTCACGCTCCACAGAGTAAAAGTGAGACTTTAAGTCTTACATCATGGCCATGATATGTTTCTTGTGTGTCAGTGGGACTGATGGCATCCAGAATTGGACAAGGGCTTTAGGGGATTCTGCATCATGTCACAGTCAGAGACCATTTCTCTTCAAGACAGATTTGATAAGTTCATTCTTACCTTTCTTTGTATTTGAACACGTGGAAAAATTCTGAAGGAATGTCTATGTGTTAGTTTTGTTATAATCTCTTTGCATGAGGGTGAAAAAGAGTTAGTATATTATAAAGGGAATAGAAGTTAGAAGAGGTTTCAAGAATATAAACAAATACTTGAATGTTATTGTTGTTCACAATACAAATTAGAAAGAAAATTTAAAGCACTGGTTCTCAAATGTTAGAGACACCAAATTCTTCTGGAATTTTTTTTTAAAAAACACATATTACTGGTCTTCATTTCAGAACTTATCAAAAATAATTCAAAGTGGTATCATGATATTTTTTATGTCTAAAGTCATGCCAGTGCTTAACCTTGCTGCTTGCATACAAATCATTCATATCTGTCTGCTCATATTTCCTGTAAAATTCATCAGTCATATGAAACCTATAAACCAAACAACTGCTTCAGAATCCCTTCTGCTGGGACTGACAGATAAAACAGAGCTGCAGCCCCTCATCTTCAGCCTGTTCCTGTCTGTGTACCTGGTCAACATCCTTGGAAACTTGTTCACCATCATGGCCATCAGCTCTGACTCTCACCTCCACACCCCTACGTACTTCTTCCTCTAAAATCTTACCTTCACTGACATCTGTATAAGCAACACCACAATCCCAAAGATTCTGGTGACTGTGCAAACACAGGACCATAACATCTCTTACACAGGATGCTTCTCCTAGGTCTGCTTTCTCTTGATTTTTGGTTGATTAGGAAATTATCAACTTGTAGTGACAGCCTATGGCTGGTATGTGGTCATTTGTCACCCTCTGAGATACACAGTCATCATGAAGCCCCAAGTCTGTGTCCTGCTTATTCTACTCTCCCTGCTCTTTACTCCTGTGAATGCCCTGCTCCACACTCTGATGGCACTGTGGCTGTCCTTCTGCACAGATCTGGAAATATCTCACTTCTTCTGTGAACTTACTCAGGTCATCAAGCTCACCTGTTCTGATACTTTCATCACTACCCTTCTGATATATTCAGTGACTAGTCTATTTGCTGGTGTTCCTCTCTCTGTGATTATTTTCTCTAATACACAAATCATCTCCTCTGTTTTGAGGATTACATTAGTGGGGGGATAATATAAAGCTTTTTCTGCTTCTGAGTCTCATCTTTCCGGTGTGTACTTGTTTTATGCGAAAGCTTTTGGAGTCAAATGTATTCTGCACTAAGTGACTCTCCCATTAAGAATGTAGTGGATTCAATAATGTACATTGTGATTCCCAAATGGTAAATAGTTTTTTCTACAGTTTGAGAAGCCGGGAAATACAGGGAGCTTTGAGACATCTGTTTACTAGGATACTTTTTCTAGGATTGTGTCCTTGGATTTGAGTTAGATTTATAAAATGAGTTTTAAAGGACACAAATTACAAGGAACTAGAATGCTTGAAATTTCCATCACTATGTTCTTCAAAAAATGACCACATTATACAATGTGTTTGACATTCGGTTTAAGACCTGACTTTTATTTTGTCCAGCTCTGTAATATTTCAAAAAATGATTTCTGTTTCTTAGTTCCATTTCATTGCTTTATTTCCATTGAAGCAGCACTCCAGCTGAGCTGGGACCTCTGTTTCAATGATAATTTGTAGCTCTGTCTCAGAAGAAGGCATTTTTAGTAGACTGATAAGGGAGGGAAATTTATAAACAAGGTCAAATTAGTATCTGGAGACTATATTCAGGACCCTGAATAGTGCATCCTACATATAGCTCATTGTGAAGTAAGGTGCTGACCTTTCAACCTCAATTAAGAAATTACTAAAATGTTCCTTCAAAACTGCATCCTTATGAGGTCATATTAGCATCCACCATATTTCATCAGTTTCCCAATTTACATAGAGTATCACAGTTGACTAAGATGGTTTGGAGACAATAGGACTTTATAGATATAAAGATGGTGTCAGTTCTCAAGGAAAAGAAACCATAATTCTGATACACTGAGAAAATATAGAGAATAATTGTGCATTACAAGCACATTAGAAGTAGGGATTATATAGTTTTGGGGATTAGTGCTTCATTATCCCAACATGAGAAGACTTTTTCCAGGACTTGTTTTTCTCAGAATAAGCAGTAGATTGCAGCACATGTCGGTGTCATACCTGGGCATAGTGCCAGGTACAGGAACCTGAGGGTCAGCTGTGGTCCATTAGCAGATATTGCTTGAAGTCATGTGGAAGGCATCTCTGTCATGAGGTGAATGGTGGCTATTAAAATTATACTTCTGTATTCTAATTCCCATCTCATTAAATATAAATCTCCACCATAAATGGGTGAATAGTTCTTATGTCTAGAAAGGATATTTGCAAGGAAATAGTTAATCCCAGAATTATCTGGTGAGCCCTAAATATAATTTCATACATTCTTATAAAGTATGTAGATAAATTGGATAAATTCAACCAGTGTTTGATTGTCATTATTGTACTTATGTATTAAATATTACATTTTACAGGAATATAATACAGTAACTAGGTGTGGTGGTACATACATACCTATGATCACAACACTTAGAATGCTGGTAAGAGAATCACAAGGTTAGCACTTCCCAGCAACTTAGGGAGACTTTGTCTCAAAAAATAAAATAAATCTAATGCACTATTACCAACTCTTTATTTGTAATTGTACAATTTATGGTATTGATTGTATCTTCTCATCCTTGATTAAATTTAAGTGTAAAGAATGAATTCTGTATCTTAGTTACTAGAATTATTGTTGTTTTTATTATTATCTTGTGGTGCTGGGTATTGAGTCCATAGCCTTGCTCACACTTGGGAAATGCTCTGTCACTGAGATACATCTCCTGTGTTGGGTTGGTATTTTCATCCTTATGTATTTAAAATTCCATTTTATGTTTGGTGTAGCACTTACTCATTTATTTTCAATGCTTTCTTATTTTTCATGATATGCAGTTTTCATTTTCACCGGAAACTGAATGCTTATAAGATTTAGACAAAGGCAGTTTGGTTATTGAAAAGATTATCATTAAAAAGAAGCCAAGTATTTCACATCAGGACAATAGGAAAGATAGATTGAGGGCATCCTGGATTCAGCCAGCAAGATCCTATCATTTCAAGGTTCAAATTCCAAAATTAAAAAAAGCCTAAAAGACAGCCTCAGGGAACTTTGCTTGAAAAGGTATGGCTAGAGAATGGTTTTGTTTCAAAGTGCTCAATCATACAAGCACTCCTCACAGGCCACTTCAGCCATGATTCAAGGGGACCTGGTTACTGCTTACCCTGGGGGCAGACATTGGCATCATCCATGTAGTGCTGGTTTTTAAAGTATGTAGAATTCAAGAGTTACAGGGCTGTGGAAGCTTCTACCTAGTTTTCAGGACTGGGAAACCAGGCAGTGTACATGAAGCTATGAAAAGAAAACTGAAAGTTCAGTAGGAACCCCAGCATGTCATAAGTGCCAGGAATGTTGAATGTCAACTGAGAGAAGCCACAGGCACTGAGGAACAGCAGTCCAAGAGAGAAGTCAAGAAAGCAGAAATAAGCAATGCCATAGGGGTGGGAGCTGCCCAAGCCCTTTTGAACTGATGTCTTATCATGACATCTGCTTTTGTGTGCTGGATATGAAACTACAGGATTTAATGTTTCCCCTGTTTTCTTGCTTTGGTCCCAGTGGTTTCTATCTACTTTTTTACCCCCTTTGAGGTGGGAATATTTACCCTGTCCCACTGTACATTGGCAGTATTTAACTTTCCTTTTGATATTTATAGGAGTTTACAGATAAGAGTTTGCTCTGAGTCTCAGAAGACACTTTGTACTAGGACTTTTCAGCAATATTGGATCTGTTAACACTTTGATGACACTCAGAGATGGACTAAACACGTTTTGTGTAAAATGATATGCATGAGTCTTTTGGCCAGTGGTGGAATGCTGGTTTTAATTTGTGAATACAGCTTCCACAATAAGCAATTGCATGGTACCTATGTCCATAAGGTGTCTTCGCAAAGCAGATGATCCTAGATTCCTTGACTGGGCACTGAATCTGATTTCATATATTCATATATTCTTAAAGAGTAGCAAGAGAAATGGAATGACTTTGAGCAGATTTCCAGATCAGGATTGTACATATTTCATGTAAAAAAAAAACCTAATTTCATGCAAACCTAATGCATTACTATACCTTTTATGTGCTTGTAGGATTTATTACATATTTTCCTTTTATGCTTGATAAAGTTTAAAAGTAACAAATTAATTTTGTGTTTTAGATGATTTTTCATCTTTGCACTTCTGAGATTCCACTGTTTTGCATTTAGAAACTATTCATTTAATTTAAGTGCTATTTTAACATGATGTGTGGTGACAATTAAAAATAGTGATTTTATCTGGTATTGATAAAATTTAGATGGCTACTTTATTTCCATTGTGAATAAACTCAATATGTTTTCGTGTGTTCTGGTGCAAGTGAAAGATAGTTGTATGTTTGGGGTTGAGTTATTGGCTAAAATGCTGCAGCTCTAATGAAACAAGTTAGAGAGATAAGAAATTTGTCAAATTTACATCGGTTTTTCAACCATGTGTAACAATAATCTTACATAACTTTATAATCACCAAGTATGTGCTCCTTGCTGAGCTATTTGTATTGATTAAATGTTCCAATTCCCTGAAATCTAATGGATATCAATATATGTAGGTAGGTGTACTTTGCTCATCGATCTTGTTCTCTGTGCAATCTTCTTCATCTTCTTGCTCCTGTAAGTGCACAAGTATCCCAGACCCTCGTGTTGGGAAACTGTCTTTCTCATCCTAGGATTTAGCTTGAACACACTAACAGTTTGCTGCTTTTTGCAAATGCTTTAATATTTCATCTTTCCTCTAATTCATTCTTTTTATTTTGAAAAGCATGCTACACATTGGCTTAGAGATGTTTTAATATTTATGTAATAATAAAAAGAATGACAATCACAATAATAGTAATAACTCCAAGAGCTCAGGAAACATTTTCTCGGGGTACTGTTCTGATGCTGCCACTTACTAGGTACTACTCATGAGTTCAGAGAACATAATTCCTACAAAGCTAAAATATGCCTTAATGGGTTTTTTCCAGTCAGAAGTATTCAGAAAGCAAGAGATGGAATCTTACTCATTCTTCAGGATTCCTCATCATGTACAACTCATGGGCACCTCCAATGGTAGTAAAGGCTCAATGAAAAAAGCTGATATATTGACTCCAAAAGTACATGATTTTCTCCTAAATAAAAAACCTCTCCACACCTCTCTTATGGCTTTTGAAATAGTTTCATTCTATTATCTCCATTTTGAAAAACTCCTAGAAATCTCTGTACTCAATAATTCAATCTCAATAATCTCAGTAATTCTCCTTCTATATTTTTCTGAGGTCAATCCAGCAAAGGTTTAGTTTGATTACTCATCTGGCAGTTTCATATTTGTCCTCATTGGAAATCATCACTCATGTCTCTACCCCTGCACTCAGTTTTCTGATTTCCACTTGATATTGAAAAATCAGTAATCTATCCAGCTGTGTTAAATTTTTCTGTGGAAGATTTTTTGAAACTATAAGGTATTCTAAGGCAACAGTTCCGGGTCTCAGCAGGGCTCAACTGTTGAGTTCACTCACATTTCTCAAAAAAGGAATCTCTGTGCTGAAGAAATGAACTAGGCCTCCAAATTTTACTAGTTTCAAATATCAACTAAAGGATTAAAAACTTACATGTAAGACCTAATCAATCTTGTAGTACTGCCAGAAGAAAGTGAAGAAGGGATACTTCAGGACTTTTAATTTGTGGACATTATCCTAAATACAGTGGCTATGAAAGAGAAGATGAGAAGATTAAGTATATGAAATTAAAAAGGGTTTTGCTAGCAAAGGAAACAATCAACATAGCTGAAAGATGAACTACAAAAATGAGAGAACATAACTTCAAACTACACAATTGATATGAGATTAATATCCAGGATATATAGAGAATACAAACACATGAATAGTTTAAAAAAATTGTAAATTGGTAAGGATATGAATAGACATTTCTCAAAGGAAGATAAATTTTGACAATAGACATTTTAAGAATGTCCATTCCAGGCATGGTGGCACATGCCTGTAATCCCAGCACTCAGGAGGCTGAGGCAGGAGAGAGTTGAGAGTTTGAGAACAGCCTGAGCTACATAGTGAGTTGCAGGTCAGTCTCAACTACATAGTGAGACCCTGTCTCAACCCCCCCCAAAAAAAGAGTTCCTAATATCTTTAAATGCAAATCAAAGCCACAATGTAGATCTAGGCATAGTGGTCTATTTCTATAGGTCAATCTATTTGGGAGGCTGAAGCAAGAAGATTTCTTAAACCCATGAGGTAGAGGTCAAACTAACCAACATATTTAGGTACTATTTGAAGTAAAGAAAAAATGGGTTCCTGGGGACTTAGCTCAGAGATCCTTCATTTGTCTAGTACATGTGGAGGCCCTAAGTTGACTCCCAGCACTAGAAAAAGTAAAAAAAAGAAGACCACAATAAGATGACATGTTACCCCAGTGGGAATGGGTATGATGAAAAGCATGAAATACAACATTTCACAAAACTACTGTCTTCCTGTGTTTATTGTGGCACTATCCACAATGGCCACTATGTGCAATCAACCTAAATATGCACAACAGAAGAATGCATAAATAAAATGTGTTCTATACACAGAATGGAATACTATTAAGCCACAAAACACATGAAATCTTCTTTGTCATTGGTGACAGTGTGGGTGAACCTGAGGGTTATTATGTTAGGTGAAATACATCAGGTATAGAAAGACAAACAGTATAATCTCGCAAAAGTAACCTAACAAAGGCAATTTTATAGAAGTGGAGAGAATAGTGATTGCCAAAGATGGGGTAGAATAGGAGAGAGTGGCCAGAAGTGACAGCCCATCTATAGGAAGAGTGGTATTGTATGAGTGGAGTAGTAAGTTCCAGTGTTTTATGGCACAGACAGGTAAACATAATTAACATAAGTGTCTTGTATATTTCAATGTAGTTAGAAAAAGGAAATTTTAATGTACTCACCAAGAGAAAAATGTTAAAGTCTCAGCAGGGAATATGCTAATCATAAGTTGATCATTACTCCCTGTATACAAAATGAAAATATTATTTTCTCTGTCACAGATGTAAATTATTTGAAAAATAAATAAGTAAATAAGTAATAAGCTTTATTATCTGTCCTTAGCAATAAATACATCCTTAGGATATTTTCCTCTTTGACTGGAAGAAGGAAGTGATTTTTTGTTCATGAGATAAATCCACAAAGTCCCTTAGCTTCATCCACTCACCATGAAATATTTGAATACTGTTGTGACCCAGGATAATTTATTCTTTTGTCTTACTGCCCTTGTGGTTGATGGAAAAATCAAGCGTGTTTTATAATTTTATTGGTGAATTTCTGTATTTTATCTTTTTAAAAGTGAGTGGGAATAAAATGGTTATGAAAATCCTCCCAATGCCATCTTGCCATAAATTTTTAAAATCTATATTGAAAATTATAAATTCACATAGAAAGAATGAATATGGCATAATTATACTGATAAATAAAACAGAAATCCTTAAATAAAAAGATTTTAAAATGGACACCAACAGGAAACATCATCACCTAGGTAATGATGATTGAAATTTGACCAAATGTGATGATATATGGACATATTTGCATAATACTGGTATTTCTGGAGTTTTCAATTGAATTAATACCTCAATTATAAGTGAAGAATGATCATTTTTAACTGTTGCCATATGTGAAAAAATTTTGGAAACATTGCAGTGGTATTAAAAATGATTTTAATAATATTCTAATCAAGGAGCCATCATTCTCCCCATATTTTAGGCATTCACACTATGCTAGAATCTTATTTTCAAAGAATAAAAAATAAAATTAGGGTTCATAGATATCAATAATATTTACAAAAGAAGGTATCTTAATTAATATTTAAAATTACATAATTGACACATGTAAATAAAATATTTTTATGTCTAACATAGGAGTCAGACTTCCTGATATCAGTAATTACAAGGAGATCCGTTTATTTTTAACTTGAACATAGTATTAGAGGAGTGCTGAGCGTTTTAGATGCAAAGTCCATGAAATGGAGATTAACAGAAACAAGGGTGAAGTGAATGGCACAACATAGTCCCTGGAGTCAGGAAATCAGCCTTTATGAATTCTTCATTTCTCCAGAGTTGGTCTTTAAGGATACTCACATTTGGGATCATAGCCATAGAGAAATACCTGGAGATTTGGATATTGAGCCCCAGGGATAGAGAGACAAGAGATTTCAGCCTGTGACCACCTCTTTCATCAGCTGTGCCCCAGGCAGGAAACAACACCTGAGCTTCCTCTCAGTTATGATCCTCCTGGATAAGATTAACTCCATTAATCTGTCTGTACTTCTGGAGGGAAGATTTCTACCTTCATTATCCAGGTGAGAAGCTGAACATTGTTTCTATTCAAGCCAACCAGGCCACAGAAAGTCTCACAGGTAATGCTTTGGATGGGTAGGTAAATGTGTTTGTTACTAGTGTTAAATCCTGGGAAATGAAGAGTTAAAAAGAAGGTGTAAAGATGATAGGAAATAAGCCCCTCCCTTCACCTTCTCTTCATCTAGTCCCCTGACATATGCACTAATACACACTCAAATCCTATTCTGCTTGTCTCACACACTGTCAAAAGTACAGGAACCATGCTTTTCAAAGTAGAAATCTGCTCCTTAAATACAATGACTAATACAAAATACTTTAAATTTTATTTGAATTATGTAAAAAATGGTGGAGAGTAGTTTTTTAGAGTGTCAGTTGAAATGCCATAATAAAGAATCCTAGATTATATTGCCTTATAACTTAATTTTTGTTCTTCAATTTGGAATCCGAAGATCAACTTGTTCTTCCAAGAGATCTTTGTCTAAAGTGATGGTAGCAAATGTTGCTGCTGCTGTCCATAATTTTATTCTTTTCACCCCATCTTTTTCCATCAGGTTGAAGACAACAATATGAATTCTAGAAACCAAACAGCTGTCTCAGAATTCCTTCTGCTGGGACTGACAGATGATGCAGAGCTTCAGCCCCTCATCTTCAGCCTGTTCCTGTCCATGTATCTGGTCAGCATCCTGGGAAACCTGCTTATCATTCTGGCTGTCAGCTCTGACTCCCACCTTCACACCCCCATGTACTTCTTCCTCTCAAACCTGTTCCTTAATGACATCTGTTTAATCACAACCACAGTCCCAAAAATGCTTGTGAACACCCAAACACAGAGTCACAGCATCACTTACACTGGGTGTCTCTCCCAGCTCTGCTTTTTCTTGGTTTTTATTGGCTTGGAAAGTTGTCTTCTTGCGGTAATGGCCTATGACCGTTATATGGCCATTTGTCATCCATTGAAGTACATGGTCATCATGAGCCCCTGCCACTGTGTTCTGCTTGTTCTACTCTCACTGCTCATTAGTACTCTGCACTCCCTGCTCCAAACTCTGATGGCACTGCAGCTGTCCTTCTGCACAGATCTGGAGATCCCCCACTTCTTCTGTGAACTTGACCAGATCATTAAGCTCTCCTGTTCTGATACTTTCATGCATAAATTGCTAGTATATTTGGTGACCGGCCTGTTTGCTAGTGCTCCTCTTTCTGGAATAATTTTCTCTTATATTCACATCATGTCCTCTGTTTTGAGAATGCCATCACCGGGAGGGAAGTATAAGGCCTTTTCCACTTGCGGGTCTCATCTGTCAGTTGTCTCCTTGTTTTATGGGACTGGTTTTGGGGTATACATCAGCTCTGCAGTCACAGAATCATCCAAGAAGGCTCAGGTGGCTCCAGTGATGTATTCTATTGTCACTCAGATGCTGAACCCCTTTATCTATAGTCTCAGGAACAGGGACATGAACAATGCTTTGAGCAAACTCATCAATAAGATAACCTGCATTATATGATGTGCTGTCATTGCATTTGGACTTAAGTTTCTAGAGAAAGAAGAAAATGATGGGCTTCCTGGTGAGTCAGTGTGCTGAGTCTATCTCTTACCACACTTTTCTAATATGAGGAGATAATGTCATGAGTGATTAAGTACTTTCAATTTGCCTTAAATTCTAAATTGTTTCAAGACTAGTAGTGAAGTTGAACACATGATTTTATATTCTAAATACAGTTTCTTTGCTCAAGTTGCACAGAGGCAGTACCTGAAGCATGACTTCTAATTTTAGCAACTTTTAATGTGCAGTTTCAGAAGAAGACAAGTGGAGAAGTTGAACACAGGAGGAACAGTATTAAGATAAATCTGTGTTTACATTTAGATAATGATTTCCACCTGGCTGTATAGTTAGGACTATGTGAATTTCATTCTAGAATGAGCCCTACTTTGAACATTGGTAGCCTGTGAAGTAGTTGCTGAGTGCTGTTATTCATACATATAGCCTTAATGGCAATAATATTATTCACCACATTTAGGATTTTTACTTATAAAACTTTCATAATTGCCTGATATCAGTGGTTTGAAATAATTGTGTAACATTTGAAATTGATTAGTGAAGATGCCTTCAATTCTTTTAATAAAAAGAAACCCAACATTAATAAATTCAAACAAGAAATATGGGCTTCATTACAGGGAATTCAATGGTAAGGAATATACCAGAACACTGAGCTGGGCTTCATTCAATTTTCTGTGAGGGGTTCTCATCCTAGGTCATTTGATGATTGTACTGAATGCTGGTGTTGTACCCGGCTGGATATGGTGCCAGAGACAAAAATCTCAGGACCCTTCTCTTGGTGTCCTGATATTTAATTTTCTATGGATTCATCAGACTTCATCTCTGTAGTGAGCTGAAAGTGGCCCTCAAAATGTCTCCTGATCCTGTCAAAATAGTAGATAATTATCTTATATGATACATGGCTTAATCTTACTTGCATAGGGAGAGGTAATTTAAGAGGAGGAGCCTTCCTGGATTATCTAGGTGGACTATAAATGTCATCATGTTTCATTATACAGGACACAAAAGGGTAGAAGACACAAAAAATAAGAATGCATTTTATTTGTGGAGACAGATATTGGGATAACTCAGCCATTATTGATTACCAGTACTGTGGAGTGCTAAGCAACAAGGGAGGGGCTGTTTTGCCCTCCATTTGGCTACTCCTTTCTGCTGTATATCAGAGTCATGTGCTTTGTTTCAAAATGAGCTCTTTCAAAATCCTACAGCAAAACGGTCATTGGCATTTCCTCCTATAACAGGCATGACCATTACATCATCCCATACTCATCTTGCTGGATTTTATAAGGATGACATACTTCACCAGCTCAAAAGACAACAAAGAGCATATAGGCCTTCCTTATGCTCTCTAACATACTCTTCCCATGCCTGCATATTTTGCTATAATTTTTTGAGCCTAAAGACACCTGTAGAGAGGGTCTCTACTTTCACTACTTTTCTCTCTCTGTAGTTCCTTCTTCTGTATTCAAGAAATCTTCTTATTCTGATCTTGGTAAATTCTTTTACTGCCTGCATATCCAGACACCATTGCTCATGGCAAGTGCTGTAGCATTTTACCTATGAAATTGGCATTTCCATTGGGGTTCAATGCACAGACTTATTGCACAATTGTGCTTTTCTTTAACCTTGTTAAATTTCAAATTTACTAAATGTCATGTCTCTTGTTAGTTTCATCATTTTTGCATCATAATTATGGTATTGTGTTTCAGTGTTACTTGCTCATCTATTTTCTATGCTCTATGATTTTTGTATTGTGTGTATTAAAATAAAGACTTTTTGTTGATAAAACTAAAAATTTTATTAATATATATTTGCAGTACATAATGTTTACATTCATTGTGTAGAGTTGGAATATGCACACATTGTATTGATGAAATTTTCAGGCTTGATTTCTATTTGCATATTCTCAATATCTTTTGAAATATAATTTATACTTGGGATGCAATAATTGGCTGGAAGAGTAACTCGTCATGCTTTGGCATTTTTCAAAAAGTTTTTCAAAGTGGTAGAATCAATAGCCTTTGTATTAGATATTGCTGTTGCTTAACATTATTTCTCAAACATTTTCACTTATTCTGATAACCTAATGTTTGTAAAATAACATTTAATTCACATTTCTTTTACTTTAAGGTTGAGAATCTTTTCACATATTATTGCCATTTGTTTTACTTCCTTGTGATATATGCTTTTATGACATATCCATTCAGTCGTCTATCTTTTAAACAAGTTCATGATATTTAAAGTAACTGGAAAATTGATTGTTTGGATTTTGCACAAAGTGCAAAGTGATAAAGCAGTTTTTCAAAATGAATCCTTTTTAAATATGCTTTGTTGTATCTATTAGGTGCTCACAATCCTTAGTTTTAACATGTTTTTTTCCCTCCTGGTCTAAGCTCAGTAGATCTTGATAATGAAAACTCTATTTGCCTCTTTAAAAGTTATACAGGCTTGCTTTTTCAACTGAATCTTAGCCACCTTATTCTTTGCTTTTGATGTTATCCAGGAAGATAATTCATTTTTATTTCTTAGCATCTTTTATTAAATACACTGTTTATTCACTATAATACTAATTAAGCAATAACACCACTGTTCACCCATGAGTAGGGCTTTTTGTTGTTGTTGTTATTTGTTTGTTTGTTTGAGGCAGAGTCTCCCCTTGTAGTTCAGGCTGGCAGCGAACTCCCTATGTAGCCCAGGTTGGCCTCAAATTCTCAGCAAGCCTCCTGCCTCAGTCTATCGACTGCTGGGATCAGAGGCATGTGACACCACAGCTGGCTGGGCTGTCTTTCCAGAACAATAAAACTATTGTATCTAACTCTGTACTAATTTCATGTCTTATTGATTGGAGCATATTTGTCCTCTAAATTTGTATTTCTGGTAACAAGCAGCCCTAAAACATTTTCAATTATTCTCACAAAGTTACATTGTAGCATACATTAATTTTTTGATAATCAATGATTTTTTAACCATAGTGATAACTGAGACTCAATTTCTGTCTAGGACAAGTAATATGTGTTTATCACTGACAAAAAGAAAAGACTCTCACTTTACTGTCTCTGACCCAACACTTGAAACTGCTTCTATCATGCAGTGACCTGGATGGGAAAAAGTCTTAGCAAAAGACCAGCTCCTGGAGGAATGGTGCAAGCCCTACTCTGTTCTGCTCTATTCCCTCCCACAGTGAACTATTACTTTCTATATTGGTAGATATTTTAAGATCACATTTTTATGTATGCATGTATGTACATATACGTTTTCCACCTTTCTACAGCATATATATATATATATATATATATACACACACACATACACACACATTTACCTGTAAATATTACATGTGTATGTATATGTACATGCACATTTATGCTGTTAGTGTTTTGTTGTGTTTTGTTTTGTTTGCTTTTTTGAGACTGTCTCACTATGTAGCCAAGGCTGGCCTTGAACCCATGTCATCCCTCCTGCCTCAGTCTCCCATGTGTTGTGATTACAGGCATGAACCACCATACCTGGCTCTTTATGCTGCTAGTTTTGATGAAAACTTAGTACTGAAATTCTAAAAATAAGAGTGAAATATCAATTAAACATTTAACCCACTTTGATTATGGAGAATATATTAGAAACACCTTATAATATACAAAAGAAGATTCAAATTTTACTGATTCTAGAATGAAAT